CGGGCAGCGGATTATTGGTCACATTTGGGACATCCTCATCCCTCAACACAATTTTCCCTTGCTCTATTAAGTTCTCCACCGCTTGTTTCAAAGTCCAACAGTCATTTGTATGATGGCCCTCTGCCCCTGAATGGTATGCACACCTGACACCAGCTTTTTAGGCAGGCGATGCCGGGTTTTGTCTGTTCTGAGGAACCGGCTGCAGTAGACCTATTTGGACTAGTTTCGGGAATAGACTGGAGTAAGATTCACCAATTGGGGTAAACTTTGGTCTCCTGGGTGGTTCCCGAGGATGGAAGTTATTTTGTGGAGGATGGGGGTTATAGTAGTTTTGCTGAGGAGGCTGATTTCTTTGAAACGGAGCTTAGTTTCTATTGGCATGTGGCTACGGCCGAGCAAAAGGTTGAGCATTCATGACCGCATACGGTTGAGGAGCATAAGCCATGTCATGATGAGGGTAGTAATGTTGAGGGGTTCTTTCGGAAAACACAAGTCTAGGAGCACGGTATCTTCTTGCCCCTGATGCTTCCATAACTGTTTCTTCTTTCTTATTACCTTCGGCCATTCCTCCAGACCCGCCTTGGATGGCTTGAGAGGTTGCCCTAATGGCCGATTGACTCAAGATTCTTCCTGTCTTCAGACCATTCTCCACCATTTCACCGATCTTAATTGCCTCTGCAAAAGGTTTGCCCATGGCTGACATCATGTTCTGAAAATAGTCCGCTTCCTGGGCCTGGAGAAATACAGTGACCATTTCCACTTCGTCCATTGGAGGTTTCACCCTCGACTCTTGCTCACGCCACTTAATGGCATATTCCCTAAAACTTTCTGAGGGCTTCTTCTTCAAATTCGCCAAAGAGTTCATGTCCGGCGCAATGTCGATGTTGTATTGAAACTGTCTCACAAAATCCCTGGCTAGATCGTCCCAAATGTGCCATCGTGAGACATCTGGTCCATATACCATTCTGAGGCAATGCCTACTAAGCTTTCTCCAAAGTAAGCCATCAACAACTCTTCTTTTCCGCCGGCCCCGCGCAGCTGGTTGCAATATTTTTTGAAGTGGGCAATAGGATCGCCATGCCCGTCATACTTTTCGAACTTTGGCGTTTTGAATCCCATGGGCAGGTGCACGTGAGGGAACATGCACAAATTAGTATAAGAAATACTTTTCTGCCCGCTTAATCCTTGCATATTTTTCAAGCTCTGCTCAAGGCTCCTCATTCTTTTCGCCATCTCATCTTGTTTAGGAGCTTTGGGAGTTTTATCCTGCCCCGGTGTAAGCTCAAATGGTGGTGGCTGAGAGTAATTATATGTGGGATATTGAGGAGGATCCACTGGAAAGACAGGGTTTTGGAAAGTGAAAGCTGAGGGATTAAAGGCGGGCCTTGGCAGTGAGGGTTGTGTTAGAGCAGAGCATGGTGGAGCAGTGAAGATGTTAGGAGCTGCTCCTGGTGGGAACACCTGGGGGCGGACCTCAGAAGGCGTTCCGACGAAGTGAGCGGTCATCGTAGGCTGTCCCAAAGGAGTATGAGGGTGGCTGATGGGGATATTGGAGGTACCCCCGGTTCTAGGGAATAGTTCAGGAAATCCAGGGATGGCGCTTGGAGGCTCTCTTCCATTGGTCCAGGCGTCCCACATCTCCATGAGTTGGAGACGTAGTTTCTGGTTCTCTTCCGCTGTGACAGACTCAGATGCAGGGATCCCCGAGATGGGGCTGTCCTCAAAGATGGGGACTGCGGGCAAATTCATTTTTGTAGACATTTCCACACTTCCTTTCGATCTGGTAAAGTATTGATGTGATGCCAGCTTACCACAACCAACCACCGTTTCTAAAAGCTAGGCTGGAATTGACAGCAACACACGGTTAGTTTGAGACAAGTAACAGATAGGTAATCGCACATTGGGGTGTGATACACCTATACAGTTAAACGGATGTCTACATGTTTGCACTGGTTGCATGCGTCATCCCGGCTTTTCTTTTTCTGTTTTCTCTTCTTTTGATTTCTACTCTTTGTTTTTCTTGCTTTCCTTTCTCTTTCTATTTTTCTCTCATTTTTCTCTCTCTTGTTTTTCATTTTCTGCTTTTCCCTTTCCTTTTGCCATGATTTTTCTCTCGATTCCTTATTGTCTCTTTTTGCGTTTCTTTTCCTCTCTTGTTATTCCTTTATTTCCTCCCCTGTATTTTCTTTTTTTTTTAGGGCTACGGTCGAATCCTATGGAGATTGCCTACGTATCATGACACCGCATGAATCAGACCAAGCGTAGTTCTTGCAAATAAGGTAAATAAACTAACTCTTTTTATTTTTTGAAAGAAATGCTTTTAGAAGGAAAAAGGGAAATATTTTGATTTTGATTTTTCTTTTTAATTTTTGAAAGAAAGACTTCTACCTTTTCGTTTTATTGAAACTTTGGGAATTTTAGAAGTAAAAATTTGTTTGAATTTTCATTTATTTTCTAAACACGAAAGAAAAATATTTTTTTTTGGATTTTGAAAGTTGCCTCTTAATTTTCGGAAGAGGGACTTTTATGAAAATATTTTGGATTTTTGAGCAAAAATATTTTTCGGACTCGATTTTCAAAATTTGTATTTTTTTTATATTTATTATTTATGAAAGAAAGACATCTAAGGAGTATTTTAATGATTTGTTTTGACCTAAAAGGAAACAGTGGCTATTTTTGCAAACTTTTCTTTATCTAGAAAACAAGGACTTGGTTTTGCAGATCCGGCCTTTCAGCACTTCTGGGAGGAAGATTTTAAGGTTGTGTCCACAAACCCTTTTAAAAATGACTCAAGGTGGCTGTTCTTGCAAAAACAGCCTTCCGGCGCCCTTTTGGGGACATTCGGATTATTTTAAAACAAAAATGGCATCACCCGACTTATTTGACAAAAAAAAATTAAAATTTTGGTATTTTTGGCTATTTTTGCAAAAGGGTGGTTGGACCCGATGAGGGTTGCCTACGTATCTCACATCCGGTGAGAATCAAACCAGCATAGTTCGGGCAGATTGGGAATTGATTTGAACTTTGGGATTTTTAAGGTAAAAAAAATATTTTTAGTTTGAGTTTTTCATTTGTTTTCTCTTTTTCTAAAGAAAAAAGAAAATATTTTTGGATTTTGGATGTAACCTCTTAATTTTCGAAAGAGGGATTTCTTTAAGAAAATGTTTTAAATTTTTGAGCTTTTATTATTTACAAAAGTACTTCTAGAGAAAAGCTAAAAATATTTTTTGGACTTTCAATTTTCTAAAATTTTATTGACATTTACAAAAAGACTTCTAAAAATAGAGTATTTTTGGATCTTTGTTTCTGATTTCTTTTTTTTGTTGGATTTTCAAAATGAAGGAAACCCGTATTTTTGGATTTTGATTTTCATTGAATTTTCTTGTTATTTCATGAAAAACATTAGAAAGAAGGAAACCATTTTTTGAGTTTAAAAAACTATTTTCTCTTTTTTTTGAATTTTCTAAAGAAAGATTTTTAATGAAGGAACTAAAAGAAATTTTTTTTTGGATTTTTTTGAAAAGTGGGGCCGGGACCGATGAGGTTTGCCTACGTATCTCACATCCGGTGAGAATCAGACCCGCGTAGTTCGGTCAGATTGGGAATTGAGTATTAAAAACTTCTTTTTGTTGTTTTTGGAATTTTACAAGGACATATTTCTAAAGAAGGAACTAAAAGAAAATATTTTTGGATTTAAGGCAAAAGAAAAAACAGTTTTGATTTTTTGATTTTTTTTTTCTTTGGAATTTTCTAAAAAAAGAAAAGTGCTTTTAAAAGAAGAATTTTTTTTTCTTTTGATTTGAACTTTGGGAATTTTAAAAGTAGAAAAAGAAAATATTTACACACCTACCCCGAAGGATAATGTATAAGGGAGTTTTTCCATTTAAAGTGACATTATTCGAAATGGGATTATTTATTTATTTTATAGAGGCGCCACTTGGGATAGGATTGGCTTTTGGTGTCCCAAGTCACCGGTTTTAACTTGAATCCCAAATCGAGGAAAATTTCGACTTCCCAATTGGAGTCTGCGAACCAGAAATTCTGAATAAGGAATTCTGTTGACCCGAGGGAAGGTGTTAGGCACCCCCGGATCCCGTGGTTCTAGCACGGTCGCTTAAATTATTATAATTGGCTAAAAATCTGATTTTAATACACTTGTTTTCACTTATGCGCCTTTTAACTTTAAACCGCTTTTATTATTCTTTTTAAAGAGATTTGCAACGTCGTGAAAACGCGTCTCGAACCACGTCACATAAATGCACCCGCGGTTTTTGACACATTCGACTTCGTTGGTATTTGAATTTGGGTCACATAAATGTGCACCCGTATTTAAGAAAAATTATTTAAATTACGCGCCTAGAGCAACTACGCCTTTTATTTATGGGATTTGAGATTAAAAAGTGTGAGTCATGAATAATGAAAATTTGCTGTGAAAATGGTGGCTTAGATCGTTAAACTACTAGGCCAAGATATGGAGGTAATTGGCGTCAATGCACCAGCAAGCCGTGGGACCAATCTATACAGAGAAAAGATGTGAACACAAACATTAGATCAAACCTCCACCACATCAGCAGAAGAGTAAATGCGTTCGAGAAGATGGCATGTGAAGAAATTTCTTCAGACATTACAATCCATGTCACGTTGGGTGCACACGAACCAAAGGCCTCACAAATTCGTTTTGCTCTCCAAGTTCTCTTTCCCAACACGTTATTTTACAAATCACGGCCAATGAAATGAAAATTAATTCATCTAAATCATTATCACAAACCTAAAGTAACTTAAACAGATTATGAACCATACTACTCATATTTTTAACATGTAACTTTGAGATAAAACGAGATGATTACGTGAGTAAGCTGTTTGATAGCTAAAACAATAAGGAAGCTCACCAACTAAATAAAACAAATTGTAAGAAAACATATTTTATTCACATAAATTTCACAAAGAACAGAAGCATGCAAACATAGATATAGAATTATACCAAAGTGAAAGAAAATAACCTCAAAGTGAACCTTCACACAAGTGGGATGAGCTACTGTTGACCGGACCAGCAATCGGAAGCCTCGAACGGAACATGACGACTCCGCTGAACCTCGCCTTCACTCAACGGGCTTGAATCGGCACCTCGGATCTGCTAACGGAAAGCTCGTCGGCTCGAGTCGCAAGTGACCAGCAGCTGCTCGTTCACTCACCTCTGTTTCCACCGGAACTCTAGAACGAGGTTTCGCTTGAATTTAAGATGGCTTCAAGTGGTTTACACGAGGTGTTTTTCTGGTGATTTTGGGGCTGATTTGTGATGGTTTAATGGTGAAGCAATGGAGTTTCTTTCATTGATGGATGCAATAGGCTATGGAGGATTTACATGGTGTTGAAACTTTGTGTTTTGGCGCTTGGGAAAGGAAGAAGATAGCTGAAAACAAGTGAAGCTTTTTTTTTTATTCTTTTTTTGATGAATTTGGTTGATTCTTCGTGAGGAAGAAGATAGCTCTGTTTTTTGTGTGATTCCCAGCCCCTTCGTTCCCCAGATCTGTCCCTTGGGTTTTTTTTTTTTTTCCTTTTTCCCCTTGTGCCTAATATCGATATAGTGAGTCTTGGAGAGAAAGGCACAAATCATGTGGCCCCCACCTTAAAAGAAAATGCCAAAAATTAAAATTGTGACCAAAAGGAATCAATTCTGTTATGGGTGGAAGGACTACACGTGACTTTGAGAGGATATGGAGGAAAATCAATTTAGGAGGTGGGACCCACTATAGAATAAGAAATTAAGGACAAAATTATGGGGGCCACGTAAGGGGATCTAATTCTCTTTCCACCTTCTTTTCTTTCTTCTTTGATTCTTTTTTTTTCCACGTTTTTTTTCCTCTTCCTTTTTTAATTTTCTTTTGTAATTAGAACTAAAATTAAAGCTAGTATTAAAGATGCAAATGTTTTTTTTTTTGTGGTTTTTAATTTTATCAAATAAACCTACTAAAAATGAAATAAAGTTTAAAATATGTACATTAAACTTAAAATTATTTACATACTAAAAGTGTTGAAAAATTCCAAGTATGGTCAAAAATTAGGTGCTCACAGTTAATAAATTAGATATTATATTGTCTACATGTGTACACTAGCCCATTTTACCGTTCTGATTTGTATTGTGACAAGAGAATGTGATATTTCTTTTGGGTTGGTAATTTGTTGGCTTGTGATGCTCTAACCAAGAATAAGTGTTTGGACGGAAGTGTTCAATTCTTTGAAAAAGTTGAAATGATGAATGTGCTATACCATATACGTTTAGCAATTTACCATCTCCTACTCCAACTAGTTTAAAATTCTTGTACTCCAAACGCCCTCATATCCATAATCCATGACCTTTCGCAAATAGCCCGAACTTTTGAACATCCGTAGTTTGTTTTAGTTGAGTAAAGCCCTTTGGAATAATTTGAGGCGTGCCATGACAAATAAAATCCCAAAACTCATGGCCCTCACTTAATTAATTAAAATTCTTAGAATTCGAGGCGTGCCATTTAGAAAATTTCCATGGCCCTCTCAAAGTTAACAACGCGTAGTTGCTTTAGGTGCGTTATTTTAATAATATTACCTTCTTAAACTCGGGTGCGCATTTCATGTGACCCAAATCCAAATCCTAAAACGTTGAATAGAGTGTGTTTCGGATCCGGGTGCATTTCATGTGACGTGATCCAAAAACATGTTTTAAACAACGTTCAATCTTCCTTAAAAATCAATTAAAAGCGATAAATAATTTAAAATTGCACTATAGGATGAACATTTTTTTTAAAATCAGATAATAGGCCAATTATAATAATTTAAGCGACCGTGCTAGAACCACGGGATCCGGGGGTGCCTAACACCTTCCCTCGGGTCAACAGAATTCCGTATTCAGAATTTCTGGTTCGCAGACTCCAATGGGGAAGTCGAATTTTTTCTCGATTTGGGATTCAAATTAAATCGGTGACTTGGGACACCAAAAGCCAATCCTTTCCCAAGTGGCGACTCTAAAAATAAATAAATAATCCCATTTCGAATAATGTCACTTTAAATGGAAAAACTCCCTTATACATTATCCTTCGGAGTAGGTGTGTAAAAAAGGAGGTGTGACAATGAGTGGTTGCGCCCTTTCGATATTATCACCCCCTAAATTTGGCAAAGGCGTATTTGCGGTAAAACCAGTCGATCAGCGGTGCAGTCGACGGTTCTGTGCCTTCCCCTCTTGAGTTGTCCGCTCAAGGGTACCGGTCTAACACCCCATAGAAACCTTACTCTGTTCAATTGTGCATGCATCACTGTCGAACCTAGTCGAGTCAGTTATGTTGTCCACATAATGACTGTTTAAGATAGCCTTGTCCAAGGTCCACTGGGTTTCCTTGGAACCCAAACGGACGCTACCACGTTCTATGCATTTATTTGGAGAACTAAATGCTTCTTATGCTAATTGTTGATATTAAATAGTCGAGTCTGGTGGGGGCAAGGGTCTAACCCTTTGTTTTGCAGAAAATGAGGCATGAGTTCCCCAACTTCGGTATGGTTAGCACGCCCTCACTCTTGCTGACCTGGTGGAGGAATCTCCCATCAAGTGACCAAATCAATGAATGGAAAGAGAGGGTCACCAAGGCTAGCGAAAAGCTGGAATATCTGGAATACAGTCTGCTGGAATTGGAAGAAAAAGTAAGAAAAAGAGTCACCGACTGCCAGAACGCTGAGGGAAACGAAGGAGAACGCCTGGCAAAGGCATTTTTACTGGAGAACCTGCGTGAACTGGAGGATTTGATCAACGAGAGCATTCAACCTGGGGAAGGTCCTTCTGGGACCAAGTAGTTAGGAGTCTTTTCTTTTCTGTTGCTTTAAAATGTAATAAGGCCAAAGGCCATTAGTGACATTTTATTTTTCTGCTATTTTTTAGTGTCGTTTTGGGATTCGTCTTATTTTTATCAATAAAATGAGGCATTTAGCATTATAAGTTCTCCAAATCAACTTGTCGCTAGGCCTACCTTGGGCACAACGAGGCACCCAAATTAGGACACGATTTATATTCTTGCACTATGTGTTTAAATATCGCAACGTTTTCTCCTGATAATCTTTACTAATTTGTTACCTTTTTGTTTTACTTTTTGTTTTATTCCCCTTCCCCAAAGGTTAGTCCGTTGCACTCTGGCATCATCATACTCTACAAGATCCAAGGGCCCTCCACCTCTTCCTCCTCCAAGTCCTATCAGAAACAAGAACAAAGGAAAAATGGAAGACTTGGGTAACATCAGGAAGGAGAATTCGGTTGAAAGGGTGGAGACTTCCCAAGGTATTCAGGTTTCCAAGGAAAGTGTCTCCCAGCTTGAACAAAAGTTATTGAAATTTCAGGAAGAACTAGACCAAGTCCGGAATTTGGCTAGCTTGTCATTTTCCCTCACTACCCCTGATGTCAACTTTCCCAACACTCAAAACCCCGCACCCCCACAAAACATCCCGAAACCACAAAATCAACCCGCTCCCCATCACCACTGCAACACATGCCACACCTCAAGTAACACCCCATTACTCATCCCCGAACCACTAAAATGATCATTCTTACCCTCATCACAATAATCCCATTTATGTGGAAACTATGCTGCATCCCACGCAACCCATGTCAAGCACACCTGAGTCTGATGACAAAGACTCTCTTATCAAGAACCTGGCCGCAGAGCTCAAGAAACTTACTAGCCGAGTACAGGGTGTTGAAGGAAACAAAGGTATCGAGGGGATGAATTATGAGGACCTTTGCATCCAGCCAGATGTTGAACTTCCGGAGGGGTACAAACCTCCCAAGTTCGAAATGTTTGATGGCACAGGAGATCCCAGAGTCCACTTGAGGACATACTACGATAAGTTGGTCGGAGTCGGGAGAGATGAAAAGATCCGCATGAAGCTCTTTATGAGAAGTCTGAAAGGGGATGCTCTATCTTGGTACATTAGCCAAGACCCCAAGAATTGGACAAATTGGGTAGGTATGGCGTCCGATTTCATGGACAGATTCAGATTCAATACAGAGAATGCGCTAGATGTATTCTACATCCAGAATTTAAAGAAGAGACCCACGGAGACATTCCGCGAGTATGCTACTCGTTGGAGATCTGAAGCTGCTAAGGTCAGGCCAGCCTTAGAAGAAGAACAGATGAACAGGTTTTTCGTCCGAGCTCAGGACCCACAGTACTACGAGAGGTTGATGTTGATCGAAGGACAGAAATTTTCCGACATCATCAAACTAGGGGAAAGGATCGAGGAAGGTATCAAAAGTGGTATGGTCACTAATTTCGAAGCATTGCAAGCCACCAATAAGGCTCTGCAGTCCGGTGGTACACCCAAGAAAAGGGACGTAAGTTCCGTAATGGTTGCACAGAGAACCAAATCACCAGTCAAATATCAGACCTACCCGACATCTCCACTTACATATCAACCTACCGCACCTTCCTACCAAGCTCCACCACCTGCCTATCAATCACCTCCACCTCCCACATACCAACCCACTTCACCCAAATATTCCCAACCCGCACCTGTCTACCAAGCCTATAATACTCAACCCTCTCACTATCAATCCCCTCCCACTCGCCAAAACTTCCCTAGACCTCGACCAAACTTCGACCGCAGACCTCCCAAACAATACACCGCTATTGCCGAACCAATCGACCAGCTGTATGAAAGGCTTAAAGCCGCTGGTTACGTCACCCCTATCCCTGCCATAACTCCAGAAACCTTCCCAATGGATCAACCCGAACAAAACCTGTGCATACCATTCCGGCATGAAGGGGCATACCGTTGACGAGTGCCGCTCGCTGAAGGATAAGATCCAAGCTTTAATTGACAATAAGATCATCGTGGAGAAGGAGCCTGCTCCTAATGTTCGCAACAACCCTCTGCCTGACCACAAGGGTGGAGGCGTTCACATGATCGATATAGAAGATGATTGGGCCCCAAAGGGTCGATTGGATTGATTGCCGAAGGTGACGAGCCGAAAAAACCAACAGTCACACTTAATCCGATTGTTGTCCAGATCCAGCCTTCTGGAGACACTGAAGTGAACATGTCCATACCACTTGAGTTCGAGGCACCTTCTTCTGCAAAGGCGCCAAGACCGATTGAGGTCGAGTTTGGATCCCCAAAGGCACCTGTACCATTTGAAGTTGCTGTGTTACCTCCAAAAGCAAGGGTACCCATTCCTGTGGCTATGTCAACCATAGCACCATTCCATACGAAGGCCATTCCTTGGGACTACACAGCCGAGGCAAGAAGGAAAGGGAAAACCAAATCTGGAGAAGCAATTGCAGCACAGGGTATGACCCGAACTGGCAAGGTTTATACTCCGGAACATTTGGTTGAATCAAGTAAGCAGGCCTCTGGAAGACCTACCGAAACTGGGCCTGATGACCTCTGGAGGAAGGTACAGGCAAAAGAGTACTCAGTCATTGACCAACTGAACAAAACACCGGCACAGATTTCCATCCTAGCTCTGCTGCAAAGCTCCGATGCACATAAGAACGCCTTGATGAAGATACTGAGCGAGGCATATGTGCCTAGCAATATAACTGGAGGAGAAACGGCGAACATG